CTGAAACAGGTGTGGAAGTCCTCTTTTGTGTCTTCACGAGGTGCAGTAAAAATAAAATATGGTGACTGCAGCTGCATAGTGCCATCCAGGGGAAAGCTAAATTTGTACAAACTTTATGGAGTCCTTTCTACCTTATTCACTAGATGTGGGCCCATATGACTTCTGCATCTTCCCCATGGTCAAAATGAGCATGAAAGGTAAATGTTTTGATCAATTTAGGACATTAAGATAGCCATGACAGTGCAACTAAGTCTCTTGTGAAAAGAGAGTTTTCAGAGATTCAAAAAATGCCAAGAGGGGCTGGGGATTTAGCTCAGCGGCAAAAGCACCTGCCTGGCAAGTGCAAGGTCGTGAGTTCGGTTCCCGGTACCGGAGAAAAAAAAAAAAAAAAAAAAAAAAAAAAAAAAAAAATGCCAAGAATGATGGGCGAGTCCAATATGAAGGGGATTAACGGCAGTATGTCTTTCACTGTAATAAAATTTTATTTTTTGGTACCAGAAATCAAACTCAGGACCTTGTGCTTGCCAGGCAGGCTCTTCTGCCTGCTGAGCTGTATTGCTGGCCCTGTAATAAAATTTTAAAATATTTTTTTGATCACACTATTTTCTTTGAATCTTAATCAGTTTCTTGCAGACAGTACAGTTGGATCATGTTTTTGCCTTTTGACTGGAGAATTGAATTCATTTATACTTAATTGCTTACCAGGAAGCTTTTTGTTTTTTGTTTTGATCATTTGCTATTTACTTTCTTCATGTCTTACAGGTTCTTTGTCCCTCATTGGCTACATTAATGTCTTGTGTTCAGCTGATTTTAAAAAGTCAAATATTTAAATTGTTCCTTTTTCCTTTGTATATATTCTATAGCCATTTTGTTAGTTACCATGGAGATTGTATGTAACATCCTAAACTTTTTTTTTTTTTGGTTTTTTCTCTGGTACCGGGAACCGAACTCACGACCTTGCGCTTGCCAGGCAGGCGCTTTTGCCGCTGAGCTAAATCCCCAGCCCCCATCCTAAACTTTTAACACTAAACTGAATGTGAGGTTTAACTTCCCTAAAGATACACAAGTATTCCTTTCCAACTTAGTCTCTCTCCTATCATTTGTCAAAACAACCTCTCCCACAGAACTACACTCTTATACACCGTATAACTCAAAATACAAACTAGTAATTCTTTTAAATGCCTTAAACTCCGTGGGGAAATGTGGAGTTGCAGGTCAGTTATTAAGTGTTTAATAATTTTTTACAGTATGAGTCAAGTAACAGAAAACAAAAAATGAAGTTATAAACTATTGTTACAATACTAGGTTTTGTAATTGTCCGTGTGTTTAACTTTATTTCTTTACACATCCTCAAGTTACTGTCTGGTGTCCTTTCATTTCACCTTGTAGGACTCCCTTGAGAATTTTCTTGTTTTTTGTTTTTTGTTTTCTCCGGTACCGGGAACCGAACTCACGACCTTGCGCTTGCCAGGCAGGCGCTTTGCCACTGAGCTAAATCCCCAGCCCCGAGAATTTTCTTATAGGTGGGGGAAAGTCTAACAGTAATGACTCCGTTTTTGCTTATCTGTGATGTCCTAATTTCTTTCCTCACTTTTGAAGGTCAGTTTTGCCGGATATGATTCTTGTTTTTTTAGGTTTGAATATAAGGGCTCACTGACTACTCGTCTTCAAAGTTTCTGATGAGAAATCTGGTCAGCCTGAACTACATAGTGAAACTAAAAAAAAAGTGTCCTTTATTCTCTTTTGATGGTATCTTATAGGTCCTGTAGTCTCTGCTCTTTTTTCTTCAATCTTGGTTTTTCTTTCTCAGACTTGTAATTTCTACTGTTTTATCTTCAAGTTCGATCTTTCTCCCCCCTGCTCAGATCTGCCTTTGAATCCCTCCAAAATTTCAGTCACTGTATTTCTCCGCTCTAAAACATTTAGGCTTTTTCTTTATTGTCTTTCTTTGAGCATCTTTAAGATAGTTGTTTTAAAGTCTTTGTATAGTAGCTGTGGCCTTAGGTTTTTTCCAGAACTGTTTCTTCCTTAGAATGTGCCATTTTTTTCTTATAGCTTTTTTTCTTGAAACTAGACATTTACACTCAATAATATAGTAACTCTCAAAATCACACTCTCCCCACTCCCTAGAAGAGGAAGAAACATGTTGTTTGATATTTGCAGGCTGTGTGCCAACGTCAGGCTGAGCTATCGCTTTGTCTTGAGTCTTTCTAACCTGTACGCTTACCAGGCATGCAGTCACCTTACCTTCCCCACAGACGCAGTTGTTTCTGGTCTTTAATGTTTGGCTGCCAAAAGGAAAGGAAGACAACAGGGAAGGGGAAGGGGAAAGGAAGGCCCTTTATCCCACGGAAGTCATTTCAGGCAGAGGGGAAACTGCAACGGGAGGTTGAACAATGGCTATCCATCTTCACACTTCTCAGAAGGTTCAATCAGCAACCAAAGCACAGGTCTCTGATATCTGAGGTCTTTTTTGCCAACCCTGACTCCTGAAAGCTGTGTGCCAACAGCTCCAGGAATCTGTGCACAGCTGCTTACCCCGATCAAAATTAACTGTTTTGCTGTTCAAGCTTTCCCCTGGAAATTGCAAGCCGCTCATAGACCCCACAGAGTTCCAGAACAATTAGAATAGTCCCTGCTTACCCATAGGGATGTTTCAAAACGCTGGGTGGATGCTTGGAATCAGACAGGACTGAATCGTCTATATACTGTTTTCCTATATATAAACACACACAAATTCAATGCCCTTTTTATCTTAACTAAGCACTTATGAACTGTGGCTGCAATTTTGTAGCTTGAAAGCAAAGTTAGTAAAAAATTTCTTCTTTTTTCTTAATTTCCTGGGTTTGTTCTTACTGTACATTTAATATTTAAGTGGAGCTTTCATCTTTTCACCTAAACGAAACATTTCACAGCTTTTTTGGTACATCTAAATTTCCATCAGTTTGTCCTTTTATGCACTGGGGCCCCCATTAAGTAAAATGAGAATTACCTGAACAGAAGGACCATGCTCTGATGACACATCTGAGAACCAAGACAACTGTTATGAGGGGCAGGTAGCGTACGCAGCATGGATACCCATGCGATGGGGAGCGGCGTAAGTCTATCCTGCTACTCAGAACAACCCGCAGCTCCGAACTTGGTGCTTCCTACTCCATTTCTTCCCCCAATCCTCTTCCATGGCGGGTTTGATTTTGATAACTCAGGAAATTAAAACCATCACCATGGAAGGGATACATGTAGGTGGACATATTCAAAGCCAACAGAATCGAAACCAGGAAAAAATAGTAGACAGAAAAAGCAGCAAAACTAACAAGTTAAAACTAAGGGTTAAACACTGATGCACTCACTTTCAAATCCTAATAATAAGCCAAAAACAGTGAGAATTTCTACCACCATCAAGACTTTTTCAAATTTGGAGACCTACCTTGCATTTACTGTAACCACCTTCCCAATAGTAATTGCTTTTTGAAGACATGAAATCAATTTTAAGATCTGAGCCTTATTTGGCTCTTTAAGTATTAGGTGGAACCACATGAAATTGCCATTTTATAGATCAAAACTTGTTAAATCTCAACGATTTTACACGGCTCATCTAAGATGCTCTGACTGAAGAACTCTTGACATCTGGAGCTACTTGTCTGTTACAGGGGAGGTGGAAATGCCAACTGGTTTATTCAGCAGAGATGTTCTTTCAATGTTTATGCTAACTTGTTCTATGTAAGCTTCTTAAAGATGCTGTTTTACGATATTGTATCTCATTTCATAAAGAAAACAAAAAACATAAGCACTTCATCATGAGTCTATTTAGAGGAAGGTCAACTGTTTATGTTTTAAGCTGTGACAGTACTAGAATATGAAGGTTTCAATTGTTCACAAATTTGAGAGAGAAGTCAAGATTTTAGAGCCTTAATTAGAAAGAACTTAGCCTAGGATTACAGGAACCTGAGTCAAAGATCAATGTTTTATTAAATATGGGGAAGGGAGTCTGGGAGGTAGGTCTTGCAACTTTTACTCTAAGCTCTTTGTACTAAACTTTTTGTAATAAGGATACCACATTTTTTTATAATAAAAAAGCAGAGAGCTTTAAGCTCAGATTAGTTTGATAAGTGATCCAATCAGACACACAGAAGACAAACATTCCCAAAGATACTTATTTAGAACATTCCTGTTAAGTATGCTGTATATTGAAATAGCTTTTAACTCAACAAATACTTCAAAAATAGCACATGCGTCAGGCCATGCATATATTCTTGGTGTTTGTCAGTATGTTGCATTTGTGATGCGTCAACTTACAGAGTGGGGTCTCTCAGTCTGCGCACTGACAGTTTGACCAGGTAATTCTCTGTTAAGAGAGCTTGTCCTACACACTGCTGGACGTTCAGCAACATCGCTTGCCTCTTTTAGTCATATAAGAACCACCAGTGGCACCCTCCCTCTCCCAACTGTCACTCTGTTTTGGTGCCTGCAAAGGAATAAGAGGATTTTCAAAGGTCACTAATGGGGTGAGAAAATTGCTGAGTTAGGGTTATACAAGGCATTCAGTTCTGGGCTGGAAGGTTTCAAACCACTCAGAGGCCAAATTCATGAGAAGTTGTTAGGTAGGATGCAACCAACACCCCAGCTGATGACTCAACACTGGCTATTTTTGTACTTCTGCTGTTTAAACAATGGTTTTCAGAAATGGTAAAATACAAAAATGTCATCTTAGAACCTATGGAATAAAGAGGCCTTTTTGGGGACTGCTCGTATCTTATATTTACAGGGGTGGAGATGGAGGTGGAAATATTCTACATTTTCCTTCTGTCCCTAGACCCATATGCCACATCACACACTCATTCTGGGCTACAGAAGAGCAACTGAAGTTTATTCGGGCAGAACTTTCTATGATCGCTGTCAACTACTTTTGAAAGGGAAAAGAAAATCAGGTTAAAGTTGACTTACACTTTCAAAGTTAATAAAAATGCGAAGATGGTAACAAAACATCCTCACACAATGTGTAATTTTTAGTGATTTATTTCAATAGAAATACTTCAGAAAACTTAAACTCATTTTAAGTTAGCTTATGCAAACACGCTGAAGATCACACACTCACATTTGCATATTAAAAAGAAACAAAAAGTGAGAGGAACCAAGTTGCACATCACTCAAGAAGGTCATAGTGCAATTGAAAGCTTCATCATTTGAATACCTCAAGTTGACTGGGATAAAGAATAAAAATGGCTTGTGTTTTCCTGTGTATTACCATCATTGGATACTTATCCCTCCAGATTTCCGATTCCCTTTAGACTGTAGTGAACCAGACTGCTGGCCTCTTACACATATGCTTCAGTAATTTGTCAAAAATGTCAATAATGTATAGAAACACTTGAAAGTTTGATGACATCAGCTACTTTACGGTCACACATAATAATAATTATTGGACTATATTTGTAGTAGTTCTAGTTGGTATCTTCAGGGAAAACAGTATTTTGTGGCCTGGTTTCTAAAACGTAACTAGTATTTATAGTTTAAGGAAAGAAATTCCACCCTAAAACACACTAAATACATTGTTTTTTAAATCCCACCACTGCTTTGCAGTCTAAGTGACTAAAATAAAAATTTAAATTCTGCTAATAACCCTCAAGGACCAGTTAACCCTTTCATTTGGGATTAAAGACTATCTACTAGCCTACTCTGGAACATACTAGCCCTTTAAAAAATGTGAAAATAGTATCTTGACACAGATAAACAACAGTTGCTCTAGGTCTTCCAAAATCTCAGAGGAGCAAACTATTTCTAAGCTTTTCTTTCACTGAGAAAGTGAGTTTAGTCTCTTAAATTCCCTTTAATTTGTATACCAGAGTTGTTTTACTTTCTTGCATAATGTTTTCAGGCAAACAGTAAGTGGCAAGTTAAGTACTCGATTCGGTGGTCTTTCTGAAGTGTAAGAACAAACCGAAATACATTTCATTTCTGCCCAAAGGACTGTCATTACAAGATTTCAATACTTTAATAAAACCCAAATATATCTGGATGCATTTTATTTTTTAGGGGTTTTCCAAGGAGGCCTTATCATTAAATCTATGTTCAACACAACACAATAAAGAATGAACTCAGCTGGATGGATGTTCTTGTGTTACAGGGTTTATCCAAAGGTTGGTTTGAGTGGATTTATTTTTAATCTTCTACCTGGAAAGGAGAGAAACTGGGACAGAACTTGCATAAAAAAAGACTCAAAAATCAGGAGGACTGCAACAAGTACTTGGCAGTATTGGTACAGACTTCCTTAAATCTTGCTGCAAGATTAAGCTGGTGGAGAGAGGGATAGCACACTCCTGAAGTAAGAGGGTAAATGATTACTGTCATACTCACTGCTCGAAATTGGTCTTCATTGGTAAGGCACTGATCAAACTTTCCCCACACTGCAACTTGAGATAAAGATGCAGTGAAAATGCTTTCAATACATTTAGTAGAAGTTTGTATGCACGTATCTCTTTCACTAGAACCCTTTAAATAGAAAGTCATTTTAGACACAAGCCATTTTTATGGAGCAAATCCAAAAGGTAATTTAAATCATTTTGAAAAGGTTCACATGGAAAGTAACTTGTCAACAATGTGATTTAATAGCAATTTTTGTATATCAAAGGCTTAAGAGAAAACAGAATACCACTATGGCTAGAAAATCATAAATTTACTAAGTCTGAAACAAAACAATACAAAAAAGAGGGGAAAAAAACCAACCCTAAAATGTCACTAAAAGAAGTCAGACAAACCTCATCACTTGCTTTGTATGACTGATTCATGCAACAGTAGCATTACTGTTCCACTGATACAGTTGAATTTATCTCCATTTTCAAAAAGGGATCCAATTATGTCAAAAGCCTTTGAGGGAGAGGATTTCTTTAGATTATCTCCTGTTAAGAAACCCTGGCATCCCTTGTTTACAGAAGATAATATGGTGGCTCAAAAACTGGCTATAAATAAATGTGCCTCAAAAAAAAAGGTGAATTCTTTTAAAATGCCAATGGATTAATGCAGTATTCATTTATAATTAATGATGGTCTATGGTTTTGTTTTCAGTAATAAAATGTATAGACCTTACAGATTTAACCTTAGGAAAAAAAAAATTATACAAAAGGCGTTTGGCCAGGTAAATTCTAATAATCCAGAAAGAGGCGATGAGGGCCCCAGTTCAACTAACAGATATACTAGAGATTGTAAACATTTTTCCATTCTTTTTTCCTTCCATAACAGTAATACTTTTTGGGCTCCTTTATACATCTTCTACAAGAGGAAAAGGGCCACTTACAAAAGCTTTGTAACAATAAATATCCTGACTCTTGACATACAGAAAGACCCAATACCAATGCAGTGCATATATACAGTAGTGCAATAGTTACATGGCGTTTTCCACACAGGAAAAGTATTTATCAATGGAGCACATGCCTGGGGAAGAGAAAAGAAAAAAACAAAAAACAACACACTCAAACTCATTGTTTGGATCCCTTTTGTAATGTTTATACAAATAATATTTACACAATGAGGAAAACAAAATGGGAAGGTGAGTTTGATCAGTTCTCTTTCAATTTTTACAGAGTAGAGGTAAAAATAGTACTCTGAAAAATAAGCAGAGCTTGAACAAGGGGACAGATACATAACCAAAATAGTGCTCCGGGAGGTCATTAGGTAGTTATTTTTACAGTTTATAGGAAGTTATTAAATAAAAATGCCTCAAATTGTATTTTGGCTAGTATTGTATACCACTACACCAGACATAAAATATGCCAATCATCATGTTTATACACCAGCTTAATTTAAATTTTAACTGAAATTCTAATGAGTTCTTGACTAGGGTGGAAACAAATGAGCTTCACATTTATGGAAATGTTTACCTTTTGAGTCATTAATTTACAACCGAGGACAGTAAAAAGATTCATCTTCTCACTAATAAACTACTTAATACAGTTTGGTGACTTATTTGCTTGAATTATAATCATATTTTGTGAATTACAGATCAAAACTCACCTGCACTTCAATTCTTTTCAAATTTGCTTCAAATGAGAAAATAACCCTAAAAGCAATGTCTGATCTTTTGAATGGAACAATGAAGATAGAAAAATAGTGATTTCTACTGCACTACTGGGTTGTTTCAGTCAGCCAGAGGCCACAATTCTATCCATGAACTATTAACTGAATTTGAACACTATGCTTATGCTATATACGCATCCACTGTTTAGAGCTGAAAATATCAAACACACCTTCCATCTTAATGCTGTCTTTGGCAAAACTATGTGATGTCAGTCTGTGACTTCCAGTTGCATATTTCCACAGATATGGTTAAACTAAGACATGTCTACTTTAGCTTACTTATGACAAACAAAATAACAAAATCCACAGGGTTTTTATTCACAATTTTTTAAAAAAGGAATACACTTAAAGTTATTTCAAGAAAGAAATAAAGTAAGGAAATTAAAACAAATGCTAAACAAAAGATGTGCAAGGTCTCTACAGTAATACTGCTGGCTATGCGGATGACGTCTTTCTATGTACCCAACATGGGTTAAACTTAGATCATTAACTGAAAAAATCATTCAGCACAGGCAACATTTTTTCCTCTTTAGCCTGTCACTAAAACTCAGAAGCAATGTATTTCTATCATATGACAAACGTATCTGAACTCTTAACATCTTCCAAACACAAAACCAAATTTATAAACAAACATAACAGGCAGAAAAAGCTCTCACTTTCCTTCGGACACATTTTTAGCTAAATATTAAACATGTATTTTCTTTTAATGGACTTGAGGGAAAAATACAATACAGATACAGTTCTCTTAAGGATTTATTTATGTGAGGCCCAAAGTTTGTGATGCCTCATAAGGATATAATATCCAACGTGGAATCTCTATTCAAATGCTATTTTTTTTGTTGCTGTTATAAAATTCTAAGGTATTGCATCCTTTTGTTTCTTTAACTTTAAACTCAACATTTATTTTAGAGATTAAACGCATTATTGCATAGAAGAATTCTGTCAAAACAGCTTAGTCAACTGCTGCCAAAATATGGTTTCATGTAAGGGAACTATTAGTAAATTTTCAGAAAAAATGTTTTAGTATGCTCGTGGTGAGTCATGTAAGAAGGAAGGGTTTGATACTTAAGATTCCCAGAACCTCCAACTTTTGCCTTTAGCCCTCTTAAAATTATTATCTTATGATAAAACATAAATAATCTTTTAAACATGTACAAACTGAATCTCATATTGAACAAAAAGAAGTGAATAATCACAAAGACAACAAAAACTGGCATTATGCACATTAAACACTGTAAAAGAAAATATCCTGGCGAAATATCAGTATTACCACCCTCACTGATAAAAACCACCTGTGACTAGGAAAAGGGTTAATCCAATCAACTCGAGAGGGAAGGGGCTAGTTACTGTAAAATCTTCTCAGGAAAGTTTAGCTTGGGATTGCAGTTCTCTATTAGGCAGATCTGTGGTCCAGCAATGAATTCATGTAACGCTAAGCTTTAATCCCAGTTAGAAACAACCATGTTTTGTGGAGCCTACTTTTAAGAAACTGCCTGGCATATGAACTCTTGGCCTTTGTGCCTCCTGCAGGCAATGTTCCCCCCTAATAGCACTAAAGTCTGAAGTTTAGTGTTTCTAAGGTATCGTCCCCTTGTCCCCTTATCTAAACCAAAACAAACACCTCCCATCTCAAACAAACCCCACAACTTACATATTTAACACTTCTAATTCCTACACTCTTCATGTTAGAAAAATGAGTGAGGACACACGAGTGGCGGCAGAACAAACCTTGCAGGTGGCTGCTGGTATAATCCCTAAGTTAAAGTACCTGTTCTCTGCAGTTCAAAGCCAGCTCCTGGTGTAATCCGTAAGAAATATGTTTTTTCTTTTTAAACTGTATCTAAAAAAGATGATTCCCCCCTCTGAAATTAGTACCAAGGTAAAAGAAATGCAAATTAGCTACGATCTATTTCAAGCACAGCACCGCCAGAAGATTCACACACACTATTTGGTGTTTCATGTTGGTTTTCCTTTCACTCTTTTAAGGCAGTGGTTTCCACAGGTCAGTTCAGAGATAAGAACCATGGTTCATGGCAGTTTATTTTGTAACTCCAATTTGTTCTCTGGGAATATTTCACTTCATTCCCTGAAATGAGTGCTTTTTGGTTCAGAACTCCAAAGGCTGAGATGGCGCCTAGGGTTCTTCCTGGCACGGATGGTCTGCAGCTGGCGCTCTTATCAGGTCCCACTCCCATCCAGAAGCAGGGATTCACCTCATCTTCCCCACGCTTCTACTCAAAAGTCATCAAGTTTGTAGGAACCTAAAAATTACAAGCATTACGAAGTGTTTACAAGTTGTTTTTCAAACTAGTATTTCTTTCTGTGTCATGTGGGCAAGTCCAAATGTTTCTTACTTAGGTAAATATATTTTAAAAGAAATGTGACGGATATTTTAATTATGAATAGTGAATATTATATTTAAAAACATTTGAGAGAGAAAAATCACTGAGGTGAGTAATAAGCTATTTCAAGTAAACTGGCATCTGGCTGGGAGGAAAGGGTGAGGACTCTGCTCCCCTCCCAGCACTCGGCCCTCCCTAACGCTCGAGCTGCCTGCTCCTCCTTCTCACTCAAGTCAGTGTCCTCACCTCAGAGAGATCTCTGCTGCCTACCCTTATTTATCTACATTTTTTCATCTATTTGGCTCTACTCTCAGCATTTTAGGTACAGAATATCTACAATAGAATATTCTATTTTGTTTTCTTTATACAGCTATGATTTGAAATTTTATCCCTTGTTTACTGTCTAGCTCCTCACTAAAATGTGGACTTCATGTCTTACTGATTGCTGTAAACCATAAAAAGAATAAAAATAACCCCATTTTCCCAGGTCATGAAGAAAACTACTTATGCCTCTTTGGAACTCTTCAATAGTTTCCTAAGTTATGGACTGAGAATTAAAGAGAAATCTCACCTGTTGTTTGTTGCTTTGGCAGGCTGCACTCAAATGCTTAAACCACAGCATTGCATTCATTCTACTGCCAGCTTGAAACTTGTATGAATTTCCTAAAATTACCAAAATCAAATGAAAGATAACAAAAATTTAAGTACTATACCACATAGTTCTGTCAGATATTTGAGTGAACTAAACGTGAGTAGGGTTCTGTTTTAGAATTCTGTTTAACACCTGATTTTCCAGAAAAAATATGCTGTGGATGGTATTTTAGTTCTTTTGTATAGTGTCAATTTTGTTTTGCCTCATAATATGTCCGCAAAAAATGAAATTCCATGTAAAGAATAATATCTAAATAAAACAATTGGCTTCTCTAGATTTATCTATGTGGGTAAGACCAGAGAAAAATCGTTCTTCAACACTACTTGGATGATCTAAATACTTTAGATATCGGTATTCAATTTTTACATGCCTAAATGCTTTAACATATGTAGAACTTCACATTTTTAATTTAAAGATCAATCAGACAGTATCAATAGTGGCCACAGTTTTAGTTACAAGAAGACATCTGCCAAAATTATTGCAGATTTTCAGTTTTGCTGATGGCGCTCTGGGAAAATCATAGAGCCACAGGGATCTTTTCTGATGGACCCTGCAGCATGCAGTGACGGAGGCAGGATATGATTTTTACCTTTTAGGAAATTAGAAAGCATCTATGTTCTGTGTATTCAGTAGCTCCAAACTGACTTCAATGGAAGACTGACAAATAATGAAGATATTTTATATGGCTATAAAGTGAAGGTTAGTGTGGGGAGAAACATCATTCAACTGCTCTAACTTTAACAACTCAGACAAGATTCTACTTTCCTTTCTGTGTTCAGCAACTCAAGAACTTGACTATATTTAAGCATTACACAGTTTTTTCTTTTTTGAGATTCTAACAAAGAACTTCATCCTTTTCAGAGCAATTACTTTTTCTTCACCCAGTGCTTAGTAAGTCAGGTAATACTGTTTTGCTTGCTGAATCCAGATACAGACATTATTATGTCAATTTGAATACAGGTATATCTGTGTGTGTATCTGCTGGCCACAGCTATAATTTACTTACTTCCTCTTCCTCCTAAAAAGACCATTAGTATAGATTTCATAAAAATCCTGTCTATTCTACAGGCTATGAAAAATGGAAGGAAAAATTTATTAGCAAAATCCTAAAATTACAATTTTATAAATAATGCCTTTGGCATTGTGGGAGGGTGGGTGCAAAGGCAATCACGGGCAATGAAGGCAAGGCAGGGGATATCACAATCCCTGAGTTGAAATTATATTACAAAGCTCCTGTGATAAAAAAGCATGGTACTTAAAAAAAAAAAAAAAAACAGACCCAAAGATAAATGGAACAGATTAGAAGATGCAGAAACAACTCCAGACATACTCAGCTACCTTATCTTTTTTTTTTTTTTTTTGGTTTTTCTCCGGTACCGGGAACCGAACTCACGACCTTGCGCATGCCAGGCAGGCGCTTTTGCTGCTGAGCTAAATTCCCAGCCCCCCAGCTACCTTATCTTTGACAAAGGTGCCAAACACATTCACTGGAAGAAAGATAGCCTCTTTAGTAAATGGTGCTGGATGAATTGGCTCTGCACATGCCAAAGATTAAAACTGGACCCACATCTTTCACCATGTACTAATCTAAATTTGAAATGGATCAAAGATCTAAATATTAAAATATTAAATCTGCTGGAAGACTGAAGAGGTAAAACTCTTGAAGACATTGGTATAGGCAAACACTATGAAAATAGCATCTAAATAAGGAGAGGTCAGAATACAGTGTGACATTATCAAAATGTAACAAATACAGCACTTCACTACAGTAAGTCACTGTAATGGAGAATTCTGTGGAGGTGTGGAAGAATTTTCTTTTCAGCTTCCTTTGGGGCTTGTCAATAGCTAGTAGTTACTACAAAGGAAGAGTAGAACCACAGGGACCTTTTCTTATGGACCCTGACCGTGTAGTGACAGAAGCAGGATGTGATTTTAAATAGTTTAACATGCAGTTTTCTCATTAACTTCACAAACTTTGGAGTCTGACAACTGCGTTTATAGCCAGTGAGTGTATTCACCAAAGTATCTGTATATTGTATGTAAAGTATTTTAATGTAGAAAGTGGTGTAAGTTACATAACTGATAAAAGAGCAGTCTCTGAGATTTTAAAACAAAAATGGGCTTTTATTCTCAAATTCTGCCCCTCCCTGTATATCCTTTTACCATTTAGTTGGCCTGTTAATCTTTAAGCTTATGCTTATATATTTTTTTGAAAGGCTCTAAAAATACCGTTTATTAAAACACGTGTGAGAATTTTGTCTGTAATTTGCTAAGTCCCCCCTATTATTATGTTATCCTTCTTTTATTCTTTAAAATAAAAAATAAAATAAAATAAAAATAAAATAAAATAAAACAGCAAAAAAAAAAAAAACACGTGTGAGAAAAATAGCTCCTAATAAATAAAATAAAACAAATACTTCCTCTGTTGAGTATTCTAGTTACATTAGGTTTAGGCTCATCAGAAATTGGGTGTACACACTACCTTAAGCCCTAAGGATTCTAACAACTTACCCTTTTCAGAATCGGTCAACAAGAAGAGGTCTGGATGTTCTGGGTCATCCGCCATCATCACCATCCATCCTACTACTGACACATTCTTATTTGATGTTGATTTGAACTGATATATAAAATAATGAGAACAAACAGTGATAATTAGTGAAAAATCATATTCTGAGCACAAGTAAGAGCGTATTTTCAGTTTTTCCTAATGAGAGAGAATTTGTGACTTCTAGCTGGTTCCCGTAAACTGGAGACCTTTTATTAGTAAATGCATCTAAATATGCCTTTTCCAGATAGTATCCTACTTTCCAGACCTTTCCCAGCTCAACTTTTCATCAGAGCCTAACTGTCCTGTTCTGCATTTCCAAAGAGCATGTTAGTGAACCTTATATGAACCTAACTTTCTTCTATGTTATTTTTTCCTAATTACTGTGCTGCTGCTTATTGGAAACAATTGCATTTTATAGTTTTGTTTTTCTTAACCTGAATCATCAGGGCTATCAGACAACTATTAGTGATAACATCCTTACTTGCATTTCTCAAAAAAAGAAAAAAGGTATCTTTATACGCATGTTAGCTTTTATAGCCAGCTATTCTTTTGTTATTATTATTACTTTAGATACACTTCTGTAACCTTGAGAAAAGGCTGCTATAAAAGAACAGAAAATTAGGTCAATCTCATTCATAAACATGAATGAAAAAAATACACAAAATACTGGCAAATTGAGTACAGTAGTGTGTTAAAAAGATGCTAAAAGATACCACAAAGGGAGTAAAAAGCTCAGTCAAACAAAATGGAGAAAAGTAATCTCAATATATCACTGCTAATAGACCTACAACTGGGACATACACAAACTTTTTATCAACTGCAAGTAAAAATAAGTATTCACCTAGGTATTTCACAGAAACATTATCACCAAAAAACATGGAAAAAAGGTCAAACCAGATATACCAACTAAAATAATAAGGTAACATTTTATACATACTAGATTAGCTGAGATGAAAACACTTGATAGTGGGGCTGGGGATTTAGCTCAGCGGCAAAAGCGCCTGCCTTGCATGCGCAAGGCCGTGAGTTCGGTTCCCGGTACCGGAGAAAAACCAAAACCAAAAAAAAAAAATTTAAAAAAAGAAAACACTTGATAGTAAAAGTATGGCAAGGCTATGGAATCTCACTGCACTACTGGTGACTGTGCAACTTAATGTAGCATTTTCTTGTAAAGCTAAGCATCTGCATTCCTCAGGTGTACAATCTAGATAAAGCACCCGTGCACAAAAATATTCACAGGGATACTGCTAGCAAAGAAACAGAAAAAACCATTAAATATTCACCAACAGTAGGTTGAGCAGAAATGGAAGACTATTCAGTTGTGAAAAGTAACAGCTATGTGCATAAAAGAACAATGAATCTCAACAATATAATAAGTAAAACAGTTTATGCTTAAGAATATGTAGGTGACCCACTCAGGTACATTCTAAAATAAAACTGTGCTGTATAAGGAAGTATATATGTGGTAAAACTCTAAAAGAAAAACAAGAAATTCAGGACAGTGACGGTCTGTGGGGATTGCCGATGAAGAAGGAAGGGGCTGTCATTTGGGAGAGCTTTGACACACTGTTTCTTATGTGAGGGAATAAACATTCTCTAAGACTTACTATGTCTTAAAATGTACTACATACTTGCTTATCTACTTTGTATGTTTCACAATGAAAAGAAAATGGAAAAAGAATTAACAAAGCACATTTGTAACAAGACTACAAAAAAAAGCTAAAAATCTAGCTAATTTTAATACTATGAAGAATGAAATTAGCAATACCACAAAACACTTGACAGCTCATAAATAGCATGATTTTCTTCTTTTCCTCAAAACTTTTGCTTCTTTAAGAAAAAAAAGTAACATAAGCCCCGTAATAGTGAGGGATGAAAACAGATATGCACTGTAATGTTCCTTGACTAACAGCTGAATCGCACTTTACTCCTAGGATTAATCATCACTGGGAGTAATACTCCTCAGGCCTTTTTTCTATGCATTCAATGTGTGTGTGTGGCTTTCTGGTGTTAAATTGTTTCTTAAAATAAATATGCTTCTACTAAAAACATTTTTTCAGTGTGTATGCTTTTATTTTTAAACATTCAAAAACAGGGACTGAATAAAATAGTCTCTCTTCTCTGCCAGCCACTCTTCCAAACATACTTTATGCCCCACAGCTCAAACCAAAAAACCCTACCATAAACATATTTTAGTGCCAAGTATCTTTATTCTATAACGGTCCCTCCTGTTCCCCTAGCCCTTCTCTGGCTGCCGAATTTTGATCTTTTTAAGAATTCAGGTTGTCCCACACCATGTTCCCTAATACGAATTTCTTATTTCCTCATGATAAGAGGTTAAAAATTTTGGTAAGAACATAAAAGACATAGTACTGTGTCTATTAGTGATATTAACCCTTTATTATTTATAGGAGATGTATTCTTCCAATTTGCTTGTATTTGAACTTAGAAAATAATTTTAAAATGTTTTGTATCATTGCTTTTAATTCTTTTTTTTAATTTTAAAGAGAGAAAAACCAAAAATGATACAGAATTTGAAAACAAGATAATAGGAAATTAACAATGGTTATTACATTGCATATTGTATCTTCAAAGCAGTTGCTCAGATTACCAGATACACGCATGCAAAACATCAGACAATATAAGCACCAAACGTTCCTTTTAATGAACTAATAGAAATTAGTAGCACAATTATCTTAGCTATCGTGTGTGTGTGTGTGTGTGTGTGTGTGTGTGTGTGTATTTTCTCCTCCTCTTTTCTTTTCTCTTTTCCCTCATCCTAGTTGTTCTTTCCTTTTGAGTAGTTTCTTTCCCTTTTATAGTATCTACTGTACCCTTCTGGATCTTATTTATTTTTTCAGTTTCTTATACTAGGGAGAAAGTATGATGTTTACATACGCGGATCTGATTTATTTCACTTATGAGTATGGTCTCTAGTTGCATTCATTTACCTATAAAAAGGGGCAACACTTTGCATACAAACTCCTAATTTATGATTGGTCCTGTTATATAACTATAAACTGTTTCTAGGGTCTAAAGTACACAATCAATAATTACCATAGTGTGTTGATTTCTAAATTTTGCTTGATGCCATTATTCTTGCTAATTGTACTTCTGCAGCTAGAATGTCACATCTGTTGTAATCACTTGTTCTCCCTTGGGTAACAATATTGGGAAGCTCCGGGGCAATAACCTCACCACAGCCCTATACCTGAAGACTGAGGACAGAGCCAAACAGAAACCAACATCCCACTCTTAATTAACTGGGAAGGTAGGATCTTGAGACTGACACAAACCAAGAATCTCCAACACACAGAAGATATCCCTGAAAAACAGACTTTTCTTAAAGAGGCTTTGATACTAGTGATATAGCTACCTACTACCAAAACTCACAAGGATCACCACAGAAAACAAAATCATTGCTTTCAATTCTGTGCCATGTTGTTTTGAATTCTCAAATTAATACTGAATATATGGGGCCAGGGATTTAGCTCAGCGGCAAAGCGCCTGCCTAGCAAGCGCAAGGTCGTGAGTTCGGTTCCCGGTACCCGAGAAAAACCAAAAAAAAAAAAAAAAAATACTGAATATATGCAGAGACCTGTCTATATAACTTCTATCCTGTTCTGAAGAGTTTTAATTAGAAAAGATGATCGATCGTATTTTCTCACAACCTATTATAATTTCTAAATTACTTCATATAAATATTTATCAGAAACCTTGTATAATTAACTGCAAACTATAATATTATATACATGAGGATATATAAGTAGCAATGCCAAACAGAAAATAATACTGATTAACATATGACAAATTCAATTATACCTTTAATTGGCCTCTAATTAAACCTAGAAAAACCCAAATATTTTATTTTGAAAAACTACTTCTAATAGTAAACTAAGTGAAACCTGCCCAACAAGTTTCTCAAGGTGGCTATGTGAAAAATTACTTACTATATTTAACTATATCACCCCAAACCCCTGTAAGTATAGCAGCAGAGGTAACTACTCTGTAAAATGTTCTAGTAAAACTAATCAGTATAGCCTTCTAGGGTATGTGGGCTTGTTTTTTAATAATAGAAATGGCTTCACTTTTAAACTGTATTAGCATATGCGAACTAGACTGGGTACCAAAACATTCACAGCCAGAATGATCTTTACCTCAGCACAAGGAGCTAGCTAAATAATTACAGTAATACACAAAAAAGTCACTGATAAGAATATGGTTTCATCAGTGACTCAGAATGTTTTCCTGCTTCTTCTTTAGGAAAGGCTGAGACACACTCCTGCTCTGGCCCCTTCTTCTTTTCATACTCCTGCCTGTGTTTGTGTGGATCCCCAAATCCCAGAACCACGGTATTGAGATGTAAACCCCTGGGTAACTGTTAAGCCATTATGCAGACTTCAGGTTGTTCTGTATAAAATTTAAATAAAGATTTTATTAACAACAACATCAAAAACTGATTCCAGGGGGCATAAGCTCAGTGGTAGGCTCTGGGGTTTAGCATGACCAAGGTCCTTGGTTCAATCCCCAGCACCAAAGAACCAGAAGAACCCAAATCACCCACAATGTATTAATTAAGGAAACAGATGGTAACACTTTAATGAAAAGGAAGGCAACAATTAACATGAAATTTAGGAAAGTGATGAGAAGCCCTGGTGGTTGATAAAGCAATATGATCTTCTGGCATTTCCTACATTCATTTAGGCCAAAAACGTTCTCTGCTATACCTTTTGTTTGATTAAAGAGCTAACACTGTGAGAAGAAAATACAGCTTCTCGGACTTACACAGGGTCATCTATGAAATGTGTAAGAAGAAAAAAGGAACTATAGCTTTCTTTAGTAATTACCTTGTCTCAGTAGGGTAAACTAATTTTCTTTCCCTCTAGCACATGACTTAGAAATAATTCTTCTTAAAGGGATTTTATTAATGCAACACGGGAATATGTTCTTTTTAAAGACTTTATCACCAGCATAGAAAAAACAAAACAAAATAACATGCAAAAGGGATTTATAGGAAGATTATACCATGAGAAGAGTTACCAAGAGGCTCCTTTCAAGTATTATGTAATCACCCATTCCTCTTCACTGTTAAGAAGGTTACCACACGGAGAAAGGACTTTAGATGTTCGTTCCAAATTTTCACATTTTACATACTCAGAACCAAGACTACAGGTTTTGAACCAAAAACTCAGAAGTGAGGAAACTTTGATGCCAAGACTGGTATTTGTCATAAGCAGTTCTGACACTTGCAATGTAAAAATGGAAGAGAATTTCAAAATGTACGTGTTATTCCAAGATCTTCTTTGGAATAGTTTTACTAAATTAAAATAATTTCATTACCATATTCAGACCTGGAGCCATATTAAGACTATTTTCTTTACAACCATGAAGAGGCTATGAAAGAATGCTAAGAATTAAGAGGACAAATGCTTACATGTTTACGTTCTGTAGCCTTCAGAGACTTGGCAGCATAATAAAAAAGCTGTGTTCCACACAAGGCAGCCCAATATTTTGTCCAAGATGCTACCTGGAAAGCATAAATGTGAATATACTATTAAAATGTTGCTGGCTTCTCAGTTTCTTTACCTTCTTAGTATCACTCTTCAATCATCAAAGTCTTAATCTCAGAGTCAAGGTGTAGCACTTCTGAAATCTTTAACTCAAATTACCTCTATCACTCTCAGCTAATACACTCTACTACTCTCACTCAGGTAATTCTTGATCTTATTAGGAAGAATTCTTCACTTTTTAATATTATCTAGTACTATGATCACCTCCTTTGTCCCTCTGTTTCCCTCAGATCTGGCACTAGTCTAGTGCTGTACCCATTCCCTTCAAAAAAAGCTCCTCTTCCCTGATAAAACTCGAACCCCTAGTCAGACCTAACTTTGTTTACCTGGTACCATATCACAGTAGTGGACTACTGCTTGAGAAAGCACACAATTACTCCTACTGATAAAAATACGATCATCAACCTCAAACTGATGTACTTTCCTTTCATATAGTATTTCCTGGAGAAAGATGAATTCTGGTGAGAATAACCTCATTTTCCCAGCACCAATTCCAGCTGCCTGTTTGCAGATATACATGCCTTTATTCTTCCTATCACAGACTAGTTAAATCCTGATTCTATCTAGATTTCTCTCTTCTATTTGCTTTTTTTTTTTTTTTTTT